CTAGGATCTCGGCATTGTTGTTCTTGATATCTATTTTTAGCTCCCTTAATCTACTTAAGCATCATATTGGAACCGTTTATAGAGAACAACCTGAAAAACTTTCCCGTAAATCTATCACGGTGTTTAAAAGATGTTGTTTAAAGAATTGTGGACGAAGGAAGACGAACGACGCACACACTGCCATCACAGACTCACCTCCCTCACCTCTTAACACTTCGTGAAAAATGATCGTAGTACACAAATCACGCTCACATGACATTCTTTTTCAGCCGTAGCGTGAATGTCTGTATAAAGTCTGTATATTTTGTGTTTGAAGCTTAAATATATCTATATATGGTGAACGAAATTTAAACGCAGACAGAATCACCAAGTAGTTTTAAAACAAGGAGTAATATTAATTGAACAAACCCTGAAAGTTAAAGAAGATATTGTGGATATTTTATGATTGAAATAAGTCTAAGCCATTCATTTGACATGTTCTTTAACGTTTCCAGAGTTCACTGTGACAACTATAATTATGAAATCTTGACGGTCTAACCTGGAAACCACCATTTTATCTTATTTTTTTTGACGGTCTGGTGTGTTCATTTTGAGGACATTGAGAATAATGAATGATAAAATTCATAACGAAGAAATGAAAATTTTGCCTGTGTCTCCCTATATATAAACATAAATACAGAAAAAACTCTGACAGCCGGAATCCTCTGAAAACCGGACCATTTTAAAAGTCCCATATTTTCTCCCTATATGTTCATTGAGAATACCGGAACCTCTGAATTCCGAAAACCGGACGATTTTCTATGGTTTCTAATGCTAAAAATGCATTAAAAATCCTCTGAAAACCGGACAGCAATTTAAAGTGTCAACTTTCTGTGTATTTTAATGTAGATCTAATATAATCTCAACAGGTGACATGTTCAAATACCAGGTAATGGTCATTATATTTTATCTATGCAGGTGGGAAAACACTTGTCAGTGTATGTTTATTTCTTATTGTCAATTAAATTATAGCTCTTTCATCATATTTGTGTCTTTCCTCATGTAGATATGATTTTTCAAAAATGTTTTTAATGTGTTATGATTTTTTATATAAAAGGCCTAAAAGAGTTGAGAAACTTTTTCAAAATGATTCCTGTTTTGCTTTAAATTTTTATCATTAGTTATCTTTGTTTTGATATCAATTATATGCAAAAATGGTAATACTAAATAAATACCATTAATTAAATATTTCAAAGCTAATGAAAAAGATATTATGATATATTTCAGACAATGTGGTGTTTCAATTTCTGATTTTCTGAATTATATTCATGGATTTGCATAATAAAATTACTTAAGACATTTATTGCTAAAAGAACTTAAAATATGATTTAGACAAAAGGGTTGAAAAGTAAATACAAAATGATTGAACAAAGTCATTGTTCAAACACATCATAATTATCAATGAATGTATAAAACCTCTGAAAACCGGACTTTTGGTCAAGTCCTCACAGGGTCCGATTTTCAGAGTTTTTACTGTATAATGAATGAAATTGGAGAAATATAAAAAGGACGTGCCAAGAAAGGAATTAGAAAATTCTCCTCCATAAAGTTTCAAGAAATAATTCTAAATGATGCAAAATGATTGAGTATTTTGAGCATTATAAATCCATTCACCCAGCATCTGAAATGATTTTTTTTCATATGGCTATAGAATTAAAACCATTAACATACAATTGACACAAGCAAGCAAAGTATTATATAAAAGTTTTAATCGTAATGAAATGAGTTTGCATGGATTAAAATGAATCAAGATTATTCAAATAGGAGAGAATACTGATTGGTCATACTTTTCTTAGATAGAATTTGCAAGTTATATTTTAAATTTCATCATACACAAAAATGACTTTTCAAATGAGTTGTCATCTACAATTATACTTAAGGACAATGAAAACGCACGCTCACTCTATATGCATTATATTACATGAAAACAAAACACTAACGATTCCATTAGATATATATCATAACTTTAAAACAAAACGCAAACTTAACAATTGAAAATAATTCAAAATGTTTAAAATCAAATGTACACCAGTAAATCGAAGAACCTAAGGTGAAAATCTCAAAATCACACTTTTTCATCACAGTAAAGCAAACTTAACAAAGGCAAAAACCAAAATGAAAATTCAAAAAGTCACTCATAAATGTCTTTTCGTAATGTCACCGTCAGGGGATCCTTAGACAATGTCCTCCATCAGCGTCTCTTACAGATGTACATCGTCGCCTCATAGACCTTACGGTGCGAATAGTCGCCTGTGCAATCTGACGCCATTCGGCCGGTAGTGTAGTGCGAAAGTCTGAATCTGTTCTAAATCTACCAAGCGATTATTTCTTTGTAGAACCATTGCATACAATTTGCTAGCAAGTCTTTAGTAGTGTTTGAAATTTAGCAACTTTTATAGAGGAAAAGTGTGGACATGTATATGCAATTTCTAATGTGAGCTTTTACGATTTCTAAAACTGACCATTGGCATAGTTTAATATTCATTTTCATAAAGATTTTAATTGCTCATTTGTGTCTAACATTTCTAGAAAGGTGTGAAAAACAAGTAAATAATAAACAGTTAAAAAAGATCATTTCATAAAGTAACCATGAATTGGTTCAATCCGTTTTCTGTTGTAATCTTATCACAATTAGCCAAAAGTGTTACTTTTGATTTTTTGGGTACTGTCTTTATTATGCAATAACTTCTTTAAAATGCAATCATTTTTCATAACTTTGGTATCTAAACGACCGGAATGCATTCGGTTTTATGAAACAGTGAAATTTTTTTTAAAAGAAATATATTTTCCTTGTAAAAATGCAATTATTCCGACCGTGCGTTTTCATTGTCCTTAAGTATTTAAGATTATTATAACATGTTGAGTATAATCATATAATATTATTGATCGGGGATAACATATTGGCCTTTTTGGCAACGACTGTCGTGATTGAAAAAAGCAACAAAGTGTTGACTCTTATTTCATAAATTCCTAAGAACGTTTTCGCATTTGCTATGCTCATTAATCAATCGATATACTTTTTACGTATATGCCCTATTTCCCGCGTAGTCGCATTGGTATTCTTAAACTAGCATCGTGTTGACTAGCGTCAGTATGGTAGGCCTAATCAACAATGAATTTCACCACAATTTCTTAAGAAGAAAACATAAAATTATATATATCACACAAAATCAACAAACTTGCGGTTTTATCACAGGAATCCACGCACAGGAGTGTATTAAAGACATTTAATGAAAACGATATTGCGCTAGTGAAACAATGTATAATCAGTTTAATAAAAAAAAATTATTTTTTTTTTTTGAGCTTTCGACGTTTTGTCTTCTTCAGAAAAATAATTGACGTTTATTAAATATTCTAAGATTGCTCGTGATTTTGTTACTATAGACAAAGAAGAAAAATACAATAAACACTGGCTAGTTTGGTGGCTGATTTGTGCCATTATTGTTTTCGCCCCGAGACGCCAAGCAAAAAGTCGAAAATTAACAAGTTAAAATGTCGGGATGCTGAGCGAAAACACGCTAATTAGCGAGTGCGCGGGCCGAAGTTTAAGAAATAAAACGGCGGGGCGCGGAGCGAAAACACTCTAATTAGCGCCCTCGCTTATAAGCGTGTTTTCGCTCCGCAACCCCCCGCTGGGTGTCGACTTTTCGTTTTGCGGGGTCTCAGGACGAAAACATGCTAATAAGAGGGGTCGCGCGGCAAAGTTTTAATTATTAATTTTCGCCCGCGCCCTCGCTAATTAGCGTGTTTTCTTCCCGCAACGCCACCGTTTTATTTCTAAAACCTCGCTCTGCGCCCCCGCGGGGCGATGTTTTATTTGTTAAAATTTGCCCATTGACCTCGCTAATAAGTGTGTCTTTGCTTCGCGCCCCCGCCGTTTTAACTTGTTAATTCTCAACTTTTCGCTTGGCAATGTCGCGGGACAAAAACATGCTAATTAGCGGGAGCGCGTCGAAGTTTTATTTATAAAACTTCGCCACACGACCCCGCTGTTTAGCGTGTTTTCGTCCTGAGACCCCGCCGTTCTATTTCTTAAATCTCGCTCTGCTTAAACTTCGCCCCGCGCCCTCACTTATTAGCGTGTTTTCGCTCAGCGCCCCCGCAATTTTAACTTGTTAATTTGTTAATTTTCGACTTTTAGCTTGGCGGGGTCGCGGGCTAAAACACGAATGGCACAAATCAGCCCCCATAGGCTAGGGACTACATGTATATGCAGCTGGAATGTTTTCTCCCTCGATTATATAGTTAACAAAGCGTTTAAAAGCAACAATAAACAAGAAATGTCAAAAGACACATAAGCCCCTTTGCACATTATGTTTCCTTAGATACGGTATGCAAATAAACTAGTTTTAGGTCGGCCGAGTATCTTTTTTATTTAGAGACTTCTTGTATACTAGTGTAAAAACAAATTTACGTGTAATTATTTGCGTATATACAAATACAGTGTTAAAGCTCGCTCATGTTAGCGTATCCCTAGAGGCGTGACAATGAAAAATGTCTCTTGTAAACTGTTTTTTATTTTTGACATGTGCACATGTTAAATTGGATTTACTGTTCGTGTAGATTTGATACTAAATAAATTGAACTTGTTCCATAAAACAATATTATGCTCTTCAGACTCACACATAATATTATTTTTATTCAACTCATTTAGTTGATTTATTACTGGAATTATCACACGTTTAATATCCTTTATTTAGTATTATATAAACGAGATGCAATATCTTCGAGTACAATAAAAATTTGATCCTCAGAAACGAAAACGAGGCTAGATGATGTATAAAATGGATTTGATACGCGATTTTTCTTTGGAAAATAAAAGCGATGCTAGATAGATTATAATATGAATTTGATACAGATTTTTGGACCCGAGAATGAATTTATAAGATCTAATAATGATTGGATAATTTTGGAATGTCACGTGGGGCAAGGTTACGTTTGAGTGGTTATAATTTATAAAGTGTGAAGTTAAAAATACGTTGTTTATTTGAAATGGAAAACTACTAGTAATTTAGCCATGTGATAACAATGTTATTTCACTCACTTTTTCTGTTATTCATATATTCTTCATCTTTCCCGTCTTTATATGCTGTCTTCAGTCTTTTCCGTAATTCCTCTTCATATTCGGACAAATTCTTTCGTTTTCTGTTACATTCTTCATTTAGTATGTTTATCGCATCTAGTTTATTTCTGTCAGTTTGTTCATCTAATCCAGCCTTTATCTTGTCCTGAAGTGCTTTTACAACATCGTCTATTGCTTTCTTTCTATCATCTTTACCAATGACTAGAGTGTCATTTTCTAGCTGTAATTATAAGGAAAAAATACTATATCAATAAAAAAAAATAATGTCAGTTAATTATTAAGTGTACATTATAATGAAATATTGTATCTACATTGCTTTATTTAACAAACACGTGTGCAATGTTTGTCATCACTGATAATTATGTAAATTGTATGCTGATCTAAATTAAGAAAGTGTATAAAGCAAATATATTCCACCTGTAGTAAACAAAAATAGCGTTGGAAATTTAAAATGAATACAAATGTACTTCCAAAATACATTTATTATGAAAACATGTTTGTATATTTTCTTACGGCAAAGCGGTTAAAACTGCATATTATTATTTTTTTAATAACACGGGCGTTGCCAGGCATGCCTGTGACTGTTTACAGACAAAACGTTTTGAAATTTAGTATAAATCTTAAGCATAGCACAGTTATCACCGTGCATTTATTTGTTTGTATTTATTTGATATTCTGACTCTATTTATTTTCTTCTGGATTTTATGCGTAAAACTGAACAAAATCGCATTTTGATTAATTCTACTATGATCTAAAAGTATATTTATAAAATAAAGACATTTTTGTATATTTACTTACAAGTCATTTCAAAACGGTTTACATATATTAACAGCATACTATTCCGTTCCCGAATAGTTTATTATGTTTGTGTACAATACTCCTATTCAGTAAATTTTGTTACAACACTTCAGATAACCTAACACTACTATTCTATCACGAAAACAACATGATTTATTAAAAAAATCAATAAAAGTTTCAAAAATTCAATAAAAGTATTTTTGACTTTTACCCTTTTACTAAGATCACGCCAATTTACAATAATTCAAAATACCCTAGCCAAACGATAAAATGTTGAGCGTATTCAGATGTTACCTCTGTAAGTTTCTGTTTAGCATTCTGCGCATGCGTGTCTGAAGCTAAATATGCGGAATCAGAAAGTAGTTGCTGTAATACTTGAAAGTATTCCTGAAGATCTGTATCCTCTACTTCAAGTGTTGATGAATGCCTCAAATGTCTTCCAATTTTTCTTGCCTGGTCGACATGGAATAACAATTCTAAATTACACTTAAGTTAGATAAAGATAAACTCTAAACTGGAAAACTGTCAAAACTTTAATTGTTTATGTCTATATATCATACTATACAGTTATATTTTACCTGAAGTCTTTTAAATACAAAAATGTCGTGTTTGGTAACAAAGATTTTAACGTAAAAAATCTGGAGAAAGAGTGATCCCCTGGAAGCATTAATCGCATCGAAATTACATGAAAACAAGAGCCATGTTAACATGGCCATCCCACGCCAATTGTGTTTACTCATTGGAAGAATGTATATGTAGTAAAGCAGAATAATTCAATTTTAAGAGATCTGTTGGTAATGAAAACTGATGGCTGAAGTGATTACAGATTTAAAACCTATGTGAATACTGATGGCTGAAAATAACAAAGGGCAATAAATGAAAAATAATGCAGGGTAGGTTATCATTTTTTGGTGCTGCACTCCTCATCAATGAGATCTATCCACCTATGAAATTTCAAGTTGATACTTCTAACACTTTTTGAGATAAGCTCCGGACAAAAAGTATGAAAAATAACAAAGGGCAATAACTCAAACATTATAAAGGGTAAAGTTATCATTCTTACGCACAGCATTCCTCTTCTATTAGATAAATCCACCTATGAAGTTTTATGTTGACATCTCAAAGAGTGTTTGAATTATGCTCCACTCAGGTGAAAAATTAAGTATGATTAATAACAAAGGGCAATAACTCAAAAAATATGAAAAATAGCATCACTCCTCCTGAGTGAGATATATCCACCTATGAAGTTTCATGTTGATATCTCAAAGGCTTTTTTAGTTATGCTCTGGACAAACGTTCAGTTTGAAAATAACAAAAGGGCAATAACTGAAAAATTATGCACGGTTCCTAGCGTTATCAGTCTTTTGTGCTGCACTCCTCCTTAATGAGATCTATCCACCTATGAAGTTTCAAGTTGATACCTCAAATACTTTTTGAGATATGCTACGGACAAACATGTAGGACAGAAGGACAGACGGGCAGATGGAGACTAAGTTATATTTTGAGTTTCAGGTGAATACCTTATATAGTAAAAACTTAATGAGTTACTGTCTGGAAAAAAATAAGCATGAAAAGTAACAAAGGGTAATAACTGAAATATTATGCACGGTAGCGTTATCATTTATATGCGCTGCACTCCTCCTCAATGAGATATATCCACATATGAAGTTTCAAGTTAATACCTTTAACACTTTTTGAGATAAGCTCCGGACAAAAGTATGAAAAATAACAAAGGGCAATAACTAAAAAATTACAAAAGGAAGAGTTATCATTCTTGCACACAACATTCCTAGTCAATAAGGTCTATCAACCTATTGAGCTTTATGTTGACATCCCAAAGATTTTAAAGGGTCAGAAAAATATATAAACCCTGAAGTTAAGTACGGGGCATCTTTTTATAACTGCCACACAGTCTTCATAAAAAGTATCTAAATATTGTTTACCACTTCAAACACATTGGTCTCGTCTTTAAGGTTTTCATGTACTTTCCGCTGGAAGTCTTTGTAATTTAGGATAACGCTGATTATACCGTTGAAGTCTGTTTCTGTTGCAGATGCTTTATCTTTATACCCATCTGGGGGCATGAAGCATTTCGCCACTTCCCATGAATTACTGCACCACTGGGTAGTATCAGTGTTTTTGTATGACGGACAAGGATGCCTATGAGCTTTCTGTATTCCTAATTTGAAATTATGACATATCCTATTCGGACAGCCGGCTAGTATGTACTTTGAATTTCTGTGAAAACTGCATTGTCCACCCCCGACAATACATATACCTTTTGTAGGACACTTTACAACATTTTCCGTGCTGCAACTTGAGCATATAGTCCCACTAAAAATGCCATTGTTATAGCAAATATCATCTAAGCATTTCAATTGAAATTGTTGAATTTCATTACAAACAAAAGGTTCAAGTCCTTCTTTAGTAAACAACACAGCTAACTGACCTTTAACCCAGTTATTGTATTTCTGGTTTAACAGTTTAGGGTTATATGAAGCCATTGTTTTTCCCACTTAAAGAATTATATGTATTGTCGTGTCTTGAAATTCTGAGCTTAACCTGAAAAAGAAACATGTAAAATGTTAAAATATAGCTTTAAAATTCAAGAAACATTGTTTTACTAAAAATAAAGGTGTTATACTTTACACGACTATTACCCCAGCGGTAACTTATATTTTCCTATACCGTCCATGAACCATAAACAGGTTGCCAGCAATATTTTTAATTTTGTTGTCTTTCTATATTCTAAGTAAAATGCACACTTACCTTTGCTATTTATATATAAGTTAACGTACCTGATAAATAAAATTAGCTGCCTTAACTTCAGCCATAATATTGTAAACAACTTCTATAGCCTGGATGCGTTCCAGCGGGGTCAATTGAGTAACATTAAGTAAGTGAGTTATTATTAAGTGACATTTTAACAATGAAGAACATATGACCAGTTTAAATGAGACCTATTGGCGCGCAGGATTTATTTTCTAAAGGTTAAATATTGCTCCTTTTTCTATCTACTAGTGCTGTCAGAAGAGTAATGAAATAGATGACAACTATTATGATTTTGTTTAATGCGTACTGTGTTATCTAAGCTTGAACAAATCTGAGATCAAGTCCATGATCAAGGTACTCTTAATAACTATGATTTCACTATAAGTTATATGCAAGGTCAGGTATATAATAAGTCAATAATGACGTCGGTATCATATTCCACAAAAAAGACTTTATTTCAATGCACCAATGATTATTCTAAATGTACCTAAATTTGAAATAACAGGCCTAGTAAGTAAATGCATATCAGATCAAATAACCTTCCGAACGTTTAAAAGGCGGTAGTATTAAAAACGACAGAAAAAATATATAGAGCTATATAAACATTTCTTTATGTTAAGATAATAAGGTCTCTTAAAGAAAAAAAAGAAGAAAATACACGCTTCTTAACTATTCGTATTCTAGTACAAAGAGATAAAAACTACGTAATACTCAATATATTCATTATTTCTTACCATTGCATATAAACATAATTTTGAAATGTATCCATATATGATGATTACACGTGCACATAACAAATGATATACTATGTGTCATTTATCAGTTCATTTTTTTAAATTTTCAATTGCTTTGAACATTGTAGAAAATATCTGTCATTATACATTGCCAAACATACATACTTATTAATATATGTTTCAACGACAGGCCAGAAAACTGTCAATAAATGAATGTTTTTATTCAATAATATTTTCTTAAAATCCATACATGTTACATAGCTTCTACAATGCAGAAAAAAATAAGGCATATAAGTCCGTTTTTGACAAGTACCAAGTCATCTTTTAGAGATGACCCACGGCTTGACCGTATAAGAGGTTGAGCACGTTAAAACGATTTCCTTGGTTTTGTATTCTTTTTAACTGATCAAATCTTTCAATGGTTTTCTAATTTCCAGTGGTTTTTGTTAATGATTGATGACATCCTTTGTCGTTTCAGTTCCCTTTTCACTAAACGTATTTATGTTAAATAAATAAGGTAATGTGTAATATCATGATATTTTGCCGAATAATCAACCACGTCATAACATCAGGGTGATGTAATACTTGTTTTCCACACAGAGTGTCAACAATACATATCTTAGAAGAGGCAAATAAGTTGTTTCTTAATATAAACAATTTAAATGATATAATCTGCTCTTTAACTGCTCTTATAATCTGTTATCCAAATTTCTTTGATAGCCTTTGATAGCGAGCATAAACAAGACAGAAAGTCATAACATTATACTAAGAGAAAATGTTAAGATTAAGTTTGATTTTAACATAAAAATCATATATTGTTTTCTTGCAATGTTAAACTATTTATATTCTGAATGCGAAAGAATAAACCTTTAGTGCGATATCTCTCTCCCATTTGAAAAATAAGTTGACATTTATTCATCTCATGACACTTTTATTTAGAATACAATTGGAGATAATGAAAGAATTATTTTTTTGGTTTAATAATGACAAAAATGTCCCACTCTAAGTTATAATATTAACTTCCTAGTTCGCTTTTGATGGTTTGAGAGACAAGTTTCAAAAAGTCTACTACTGTTATTGCGTTTGCATTAAGTAATACAGCCTTAAAGTTATCAAAGTTGTCGGGAGATTTGGCACAGATAATACGGTCTGGTATTGACATACACACCTTCAACAATGTCCATATTTACGTAAATTATAGCCCATTTAATGCTAGGTCATTCAAAATTATAAGGCGCATGATTGTACTGATTGTTTTATAGATTACTTTGTTTTGTTTTAGATCTAAACATAACCAGTTTATATTTTAAACTACTCAAATGCGTTTTAAATGATTGTTTTACTTCATTCACAAATAATAAAAATGCCCTGAAAATTTACTTACATAGTGACCTGAATGTGATTATATATTATTTATATTGATCTCAGAATGATATATTTTAAGTGTATACTTACAGCTTTTTGACGGATATATAATATTGCTCATCATCAAAAAATAGTTAAAGACATTAACAAGAAAATATTAACTGGTTCCCTTTAGTGGCCCAAAGAATACAGTATGACTGGAAAAAAAACAACAAAACAACAAGAACAACAGTATATGTGAATGTCCTGCTAAATAGCATAAAAACGTCTTATGTTTGCTCCTAATTTTATTTAAAAGCACGCGCATTTATCTACAGAGGAAATCGGGTTTCTTTCTGGAAAAAATCTTTGGTATATACGATGATGGTATATAAGTATTGTTACATTGTGTAAAAACATATTCCCTTTTTACCGACCCCGTATGCTATAAACCACCCTCCTTGATCGTCCAACCTCCCACTTTGTGATTTTTTCTCCTAAGATTCAAACAATACCTTGTGGGTCACAGTTATCACAACATGAATGCAGAATGAAATGATACAGGGTCAGCCATTTCAGCAGAACCAATTCTATACCCAGATAATTTTTAGAAGAACAACTTTCATATGAGTTCAGCAAAATGTTTGTATTTCTATTATATAGATGACTTTACAATTGGAAACAAAGCTTTCCACTTTTGTTTAAATCTTACAAAGTGGTCATATGTGGTGTGCTATATGAAAGGCAGTTCTTAAAATACAATGTGGCATTCGTTAACTGCCTTGCTTCGTGTAGTCAGTTTAGGTGTTTACTTCTGCTGCTTTGTCTCCTTATAAGATGTCGAGTACTTTTGTTATTGTCAACGGGTTTATCATTGTCTCATAGTGTGTAGATCTTTCTATCGAAAGTGTGTTAAAAGTTGTATATTGATACATGCACAGTGCTTTAAATAGAGTGCAGACGCACACCTTCCGTTCCTTAGTGTTTCTCGTCAAACCATTTCTGCGATTTCCGGTTCTTTTATTGTGCACGTAATTGTGGAAAAACCAAGGTAGGTGTTCTTGTTAAATGGTGATTTCAAAAATTTCTGTAATTCATTTTCAAAAATGCAACCATAGTTCGACCTGACTACTGTATACTATTTGTATTTATTTTCTCATCTCAATAGAATGTATTACTCTTTTACTAATGTGGCGAAAAACAACGATAATTTTGATAAAATGTTTCAGATTAAATAATTAAACAATCTAACTAATCTGATTTGATGAAATTTCATTTGTTATGACTACCAACGGCTTCATTTCGCTGAAATCATATTTTCAGCCATTCGACAACTGCAATAAACTGGTGCAAAAATGAATTAAATGATAATGTTTTTGAGCAATGTTTTTTATTTTATTTGAAATTACTTTTTGTCCAATAGGATTGCAGTCTTTCAAATAAATCGTAACACCTTTACTTTGATCAATCGGCTAACTGTAAATCAGTCTAGTAAATCGACTGTTTTACTTCATTCACAATGATAAATCGGTTAAAATTTATTTTAACGTTTTCTTTTAAAAATGACCAATTAAATGTTGTAAATAGTACTAATAAACTTTAGCCTATACACAAAGTTCTTTGATTATTTCATAGAAAATGTTTAATGATGAAGCTATGATGATTTATTGTGAACTGCTTCCCTATAAGCTAATACATTTCAAATGTGTGCTTAAATGTAATTTAACGTATTGCAATCACTTCACAAATGCAATCATTATAAGAGGCAAACCTGAAGCACCATGCTCCAATTTGTAGCACTGGACAATAATAAATGCTGTTTTCGTGGCTATTTTGTGTTGTAGGATACTTACTGGCAAAGAATATGTGATATCATAAAATAGGTACATGGTTGTTGGTTTTTAAGATTTGACATACCTGCATGACATCGCAAATGCTTACAAAATATAAGAACAAAGAACATCAAGGTGAGGCGGGTTTCACTGAACGCAGCAATCAATATAACATTAGGTAAAGAACATGTCGATTAAAACATGGATTGAGGGAGAATTGACAGATAAAAATATATATATGTTTTATAAATGTGAGCATTTCTTATTGATTTACTTGTATAGGGTATTCATATTTCAAACAATAATTGAGAGCTTTTACCAACCAATAGATGTAATTTATATCACATAGATATTATATAAAACAAAAAATGTACATTTGGGTACCAAAATGATTAACGTACAACAATTCGCAATCCATAAAATACATATCCCCAACGTATGAGTTATCTGAGATCTGTGATATTGTTCTTTGTTTTCAAAACGTGCAAATTGATCTGTTGTAGAATAGGCTTAGATCTTAAAAAGATACAGTTTACAATATGAATAAACAAGCCTTAATTATACACAAATACAATACTAACACATTCATAACAACCATATCGATATTTCAATTCTTCAAAAGGCAAACCTTGGTCCTTGATCTTTCTTTATTGACAAAGTTATACTCTATATCTATTGTTAGCGATCTATCTTTTATTATGAATCGTTTAAAATATTTTATGATACCGGTATATATAATTTAAACATCAATAGATCAAAGGTTATAGTCACTCTCTAATAAAGGTTATAGTCACTAAAGCTTTCACTGCGTATAACAAACAACTTTGCATACAGTCTAGAGATTTGGTGTGAAGGTAAGAAGAAGAAAGAAGAAGA